AGGACATCAACCTGCTCCTGCACAAGGTCAACCCTTTGATTTAGCAACATCAGTCCTCCTTTTAATTGTGCATTGGCCGCTTGTTGTAAATCCAGAGCTCTGGCTGTAGTAGCCGACAAGTTATTTAAAGTCTGAGCCGTCTGCACAGTATGTGACATGGCGACAGCGGCAGCTGTCGCACCCGCAGCAGCCACAGCTATAGCAGTTACAATGGCCGCAGTGATGCCAAAATCTCTCTTATGCCTAAACAAGGTTACAGCTTGAGAAGCATCTACTGGCACAGGCATCCAACGTGGGATGCATGCAACTATAGCTAATGGATACTGAGAACTCCAGCAGGTAGCATAATAGCAGGTTTCATTAGTGCAAGCACATACATCATCTGAGCATACAGAGGTGTTGTTAATTACCAAAAACACAAAAGGGGAAACCACACACACGGGGATAGGCTGATAACTAAATACCGTATCATTCTTACTAAAATGACAATTGGCACCCACAATACGGGCAGTACTAGTCAAATTGCAAGTCATGTTTGCTATAAAAAAGTGACCTCCTTGCAGCATAACTATAGGTTCGGCCTGCAAGCAACTTCCATTAAGACCACATAACAGCCAATTATTAAAGGGATTAATTCCAGCCCTAAATAGTACATTAGCATTGGACAAAATACTAGGGGAGAATGAAAAACGCTCAGACTCATCAGCCCAAACAGCTTGTTGTGATTGGCAACTTGTCCAAGGCCAAGCCTCCCCCATACGGTCAGGCAAGCAAAAAGGGGCCCATTTAGGTTGTTTTACAATCCACGGATCAGTACTTAACTTTAAGCTTTCATAATATCTGCCTAAGACAGTACGGACCAATCCAGTAGCATTTGCCCAAACCTCAGTTGATCCCGGATTCCCATACCAATATCTAAAATAAGCGGCCGGGGAACGAGTCAAGGCCATGCAACTACCATTAAGGGTCACATCACTTAAGTAAAAGCATAGCGTACCCATCAAGCTAATTTTTCTAGCTTCACCTATCCCTGCTATTTGTTTATCCTCTGGGTAAAAGGGAAGGTTAAGAGTCTTATTTGTGGTGAAAATCTAGGAAAAAGAGAGGCGTCATGTCTCACGGGCATGGGCCTCGGGAATGCAGACAGTATCCCCCATCTTGCTGCCACCTGTCCCTGTTGGATCATCAGGAGCTGTATGATCAGCAAGGCAATCCTTTGTTTCTTCCGGGTTCCGTTTATCTTGGACTCGCCGCACAAGTCGTTCAGGCACCCACACTGAATCTGAGCGATTCTGGGGAAAAACACAAACAGATCCTCGTGCCCATACCAGCACGGGGTCAGGCCCGTTCCAGAGGCCCGTTAGCACATCCTTCCACAAAGCCGACCCTAAGGCCGAAGGAGTGGAACAGTTATGCCTATCCACCGCTGAGTGACCAGCGTTATCCAAATTCAAAAAATTTAGGGTGAAAAGTGTCATGGCTATTCTTTGTCTTGCTGTAGCCATCAGGGGTCCAGCTCCCCCTTTTTGTTTTATTAACATTTCCTTGATAGTACGATGAGCTCTTTCCACAATTCCTTGTCCTTGAGGGTTATAGGGCAGTCCATGCACCAGGGTAACACCCATTTGAG